CTCCCTCCCAACTTTCAAATTCCGCCTAAAGACCTTCCTTTTTGATTGTGCATACGGTCACCTCCCCACTCTTTCTCCCCCTGGCTTGGTGTCAAACTCCGCCACTGTAATGCGGTCTGGGACACCACCCCGAGTGAAGAGCGCTACAGAAATGCAAGTTGTTGTTGTTCTAGCTCACCCACAGCCCTACACCCATTATTGACTGCAGTCACTTTTGCCCTCACCTATTCTTCTAACTTTATGCTCACTGTCCTTCAGGTTTCATTGTTTCCCTTGGTCCATTTCCTCCCCTCCGTTTCTTTCTCCTTCAGAGCTGCAACTTTCCTTAACTCCTGCCTCATACAGTTAACACTTTCTGGAAAACAAAGTAATGGTCTAAAAGTGTGTGGGGTGTGTGAAGGGGGTAGGTCTCCCTCGACATCTGAAGGCTAGAGGACATGACGCTTTTTTCTTTTGGCCACAACGTTTTTCTAAAAAAAGTTTTTCTGTTGACAAATAGCAAGTGAAGAATAAACGTCACTGTCTTATTTCTTCATGACCTTGAAATCATTCCTTCAAATTGCTGCTCAGAACAACCACTTCTCTGGAGTTCCACATTTTCTAAATGAGGTTATTAGTCAATTATGCTGGAAGTGCAGCTGGTAAATATGTACTTTAATTAAACGTGTGACTATAAGTTGAATGGAAGTCAAAATATATTGAGGCAAGAAAGCAGTTGGGAGGGAGGCTTGCATTGGACTCAGTACCACTGGGTTAGGGTGGGGAAAATAGGATAGAATTGCTGATCACCATCTGCACTAGAATGAAGCACATGTGGTTGGGAGGTTGAATGAGGACAAAATTAGATTTGACTTTGACTGTAATGCTGCCTGAAGTCATAGTCTGCTGACGCCATTCTCAATGCTCACGAAGAAGCTACTGGAAAGTGAATGACACCCATTGGAACTATAACCCAGCATGAGTTAACATGTTCTGGAGAGGAGGGATACAGATTAGGAGATAAACACAGAATATTGACAGGTTATTAATTAAATAAGCAAAAGAGACTGACTGCTTTAAATAGTGTATTATATTTCTAAATATTATTAATACAGGGTGACCAAAAAATCTACCCTATTATCTAAAAAAAATCCTTTCTTTAGGACTTATTAGACATTATAATGGTATCACGTCTTTTTGGTCCCCCTGTATAATAGCTGATGGAACATAATAAAATTCAAAAATGAAATTAATTACTACATTTATCATTTTTTTCAGAATGAACCTACACATCCAGACCCCGGAATCCGGGACTGAGCCAGGGGGATGGGGAGGAAGGTGATCAAAGGCGCGGTCGAAAAGAAAGGTCTTCAGCAAAGACCCGAAAATAGGAAGGGAGGGAGCGAGGCGAAGGGAGTGAGGAAGGGAGTTCCAGAGCCTCGGGGCATAGTGGTTGAAAGCACGGCTGCCGAGGGTGGAACGGAGAACTCGGGGGATGAGGAGGAGGCCAGACCCGGAGGAACGAAGGCAACGGGTATTGTTTTGAGGAGAGAGGAGGTCAGAGAGGTAGGGGGGTGCAGAGGAGTGCAGGGATTTGAATACAAGGGTGAGGATCTTGAAGTCGATCCTCTCTGGAATAGGCAGCCAGTGCAGTCTGGCAAGGACTGGGGTAATCGGGGAGCGGAGTTTCGTGCGGGTGAGAATGTGGACCGCAGTGTTTTGAATGATTTGGATTTTATGGATGGTAGTGGATGGGAGACTGGCGAGGAGGGCGTTAGAGTAGTCCAGCCGAAAGGTGACAAAGGCATGGACCAGGGTTGCAGGGGCTTTTGGGGGGAGATATAGGCGGAGACGGGCAATGCATCGGAGGTGGAAGAAAGCGGTGCTGGTAAGGGACTGGATGTGGGGGAGGAAGGATAATTGGGGGTCGAACCTGACGCTTAGCTTGGGTACGGGTTCGGAGAGTTTTAGGGGGAGGTCGGGTAGGTGGAGGAGGTGAGAGCCGTGAGATTTTAGACGTTGACGAGAGCCAAAGAGTATGGCTTCCGTCTTGTCAACGTTCAGCTGAAGGAAATTTGCGCTCATCCAGTCCCTGAGATCTGACAGGCAGGCTGACAGGCCATCAGGGGACTGGGGGTCGCAAAGAGAGTTGGAAAAATAGAGTTGGGTGTCATCTGCATTCATGTGGAAATGTACCCCATATCTGCGGATGACATCCCCAAGAGGGAGCATATATATCATAAAGAGGAGGGGGCCAAGGATGGATCCTTTGGGTACCCCGCAGGTGACCGAGTGAGAGCGGGAGGAGAAGCCGTTTGTGTAGATGTACTGCTGGCGGTTTGTGAGGTAGGACTCGAACCAGGTGAGTGCGGTCCCACTGAGGTGGACGAAGGAGGAAAGGCGGTGGAGGAGGATGGCGTGATCGACCGTGTCGAACACGGCGGAGAGGTCCAGGAGGACAAGGAGGCAGAGGGAGCCCTGGTCACAGATAGAGAGGATGTCGTTTGTGACTTTCACAAGCACAGTCTCTGTACTGTGGGCAGGCGAAAACCGGACTGGAGGGGTTTGAAGAGGGAGTGGGAGAAGAGGTGTGAGCGAAGTTGATTGGCAACAACACGTTCTAGAACTTTTGAGAGGAAGAGCAGGTTAAAAATAGGGCAGTAGTGGCTGGGGTTTGAGGGATCCAGGGTTTTTTTCAGGAGGGGGGGGGGGGTGATGACAGCAGTTTTGAGGGAGGCAGGGACTGATCCGGAGGAGAGGGACTGGTTGATGACGTCAGCCAGTAGTGGGCAGAGGAGGGAGAGCTGGGTGACCAGTAAGTTGGTGGGGAGGGGATCGAGGCAGCAGGTGGTGGGTTTCATGGAGGTGATGGTGTTTCCATGAGAATTATACTTCTAAAGGACACTAATATCAAGTATTATGCTATATCTTATTCCATTAAAACCCAATTATTAGGGAACACCCTTTTAAAGTGGGGATACTCTGTAATGGGGTTTTTATGGAATAAAATATTGGACATTAGATAAGATTAGTGTTAAACATGTGCAATACCTACAGGAAATGGAATCAGCTGTGCTTCTTGCTGTATGTATCCACAGACCTCAGGAAGTTATATTATGCTGACCATTTTGGCTTTGTGCTGCATTACAACGCTAACATTTCAACAGCAATTCATTCCCACATCACAGCCCTAATGTAGTTAACACAATACATGGTTATCTGGTGTGTGGATAAGCAGTGCTCTACTGTATTTGGAGCGATCTTAATGACATTCATGGGCATAATAATCAGCAGTTCTAGTTAATGAAAGAAAGGTTTGGAACTCAATTTTCAATCAATTGATGATTATTCCTGATATTGGTATTGGTGATAATTATATATTGAATGTCCCTGTTATCTTAAAAGTAAAAAAAAACGCGTGGCCTTTCCTAAACTTGTTGAATGAAAAAATCTTTCACATGATTTAGAAATAAGCCCATGTTCTCGATAGGGAAAAGCAACTACAGCAGTTCCTTTAAAATGTTTTTGAAATCAACATCATGACAGCGCTTATGCGAGTCTCCTTTCTTATTGTCACATCAATGCCCCTCCGCTGGGCTGTTGAACCAGTTCCTTTCCTCATTGTGAAGCATAGCATGAATCTTTGGTTGTAGTTGTCAGTATCGCAACAACGTGCTGTGTGCTCCACGGTTTAAGGTTTAAGTTATCACCTGTGATTTCTCAAACATGAACTTTACAATGGAGAGCTTGATAAGATAAGCCCTTCAGCAACTTGTAAAGGACAGATGAAAAGTAGATGTGATGGAGGTCTGGTATTTTAGCCAGGGAAGAAAATAAAATTTAAAAGCAGTTTTTTTAGGCAGTAAATGCACGAGAGTAGTGTAAAAGCATGATATGCACAATATACATATCTTCTATATTAATAAAATGACAATAATAATAATCCTTGCATTTGATATAGCGCTTTTCACGTCGGGGGGACATCCCAAAGCGCTTCACAGGACACACTGTAAAGTGAATTGACTGTATATTTGTGGGCGAACGCGGCAGCCAATTGCGCACAGCAATTTCCCACAAACAGTTGTAGATTGAAAATGACCAATTTATTATTGTTTTTTTTTTGGAGGGATTATTATTAGGCGCGTGGAGTAAGGAAACTTGCCCAAGGTTTCGCCCTCTGCCTGGAATTGAACTCAGGTCTCTCGCTTGCAAAGCGAGTGCTCTAACCACTGAGCTACAGGACTCCGATGTCTGTCTGTCTGTGCTTCAATAAGGAGCTCAATAACTGATTGACACAGAGACCTCATCGGATAGGTCTTTTACTGGGAGTGACATGGGCATATTTGTTTTCGGGTATCTCCTATCGTTCATGAGTGATAACCTAAAATATTTTTCAGTTTTGCGTTTTCCACTGCAAGTACACCTGGTGACCGCCGAGTCAAAGTGGCGCTGTGGCATCCTGCGTCACAGAGCACGCACGTAGCCAAGTGGGAACAAAGTAAAGAACACAGATGAAGCTAAGCCGCGGCAACAACAACAAAATTATATTTTTAAAGCGCCTTTAACGTTGGGAAGACGTCCCAGTGATTATAAATGATACACTTATATTTATCATTATGAAGATGCCTAAGCGAAAATCAAACCTTTTAAGGATAAGTAAAAATGCTAGACAAAAGAGAGAAGGCCCATTAAATGAAACTGAAGAACAAAGAACAGTGCGGCTGTACTTCACTGTTGAAAGGACTACAACAACGCGCCAAAATGAGTTGCCCACTCAAAGAACAGCACGGCCAAAATGAGTCCTCCCACGAGTTCTCCCAGGCAAATGTCTGTCAGTCTACATTCCATATTGGATCCTTTGGTTGCAAGCGAAGCTGCAACAGGTACAGCTAGTATTATATATATATTTTATAAATCCATAAACCATGAGACAGAATAGACTGCATTTGCAAATGCAACATTTAGCATTTTATCCTGTTGCACCGTGTCAGAGAAATAAAATAACATGAATGTCTCCTTACCGTTCTCGATTGAATTTGAGAGAATGAAGGATTGCTGGCCGCTTTTGTCGAAGATTCCATAGATGGAGTGTGTCATCTGCACACACACTTACCAATGCTCCCTGCAGAGAGATGGAAAAGAAAGTGCATTATGATTAAATGATTCTTCTCCTCTCCACAGGAGGAAACATTCCTCGGAGGCGAGGTTTTGAAGCAACAAAAACTGTTTATACTAAAAAGGCTTAGCACATTAGGACCTGAAACACTCATGGTTTTAGGTTTCAGCCCACTGATTTAAAAAAGTCTTAAGAATGTGTGGAATTCTGGAAAATGATCTTACACTCAGAATATAAAATAGTCACAAATAGATCAAATAGGGAAGTTAGAAGAAATTTCTTTACACAGAGAGTAATAGGAATGTGGAATATGCTAACACAAGGAGTTGTTGAGGCAAATAGCATAGATGTATTTAAGGGGAAGCTTGAAGGCTTAGTTGAGGAAGGGCAGGAGGAGGCTCATGTGGAGCATAAACACCGGCATAGACCAGTTGGGCCGAATGGCCTGTTTCTGTGCTGTATATTTTAATGTATTCTAATGTATAGCATATTATTATATAGTCTGGAAAATTGGCCTTCAAAATTAAAGGCCTGAATTTAATCTTTATCCTTTCCAAAAAACTTAACTGTTTGTTTCTTTATATTTTCAATATTGAATTTACCAAATGTTTATGTAAGCTTGCTTTCAAATATTGGGAACATATATCCCAGATGGACACATGATTCAAGCATATTACTAACAAGGTTCTGATTTACACAGTTTCTGAACAGTAAATATCATTTTATCCTCTGGGGTGATTATCGTCTAACCAGCAGTGAAAAAGAATCGTTATTCCCTCTGTCACAGCAATTTTTCTCTTTGTAGCAGTAACTTATCTTTTTAAGTTAAACATTTTGCTGACAGTTCTAAGGCATTTTAACAAATTATTTGTTTTAAAGGGAAGAGGGGAATCCCCAAAAAGAACTGTGGTTCAAATAAAAACAGAAAGTAACTTTATCAACTCCCACCTTAGCCCCCAACAATTCTACACTACCGCTTTTTCATTTTCACTTTCAAATAGAGAAAACTACAAAAACTCTGCATGCTCCTGAATAGTAGCTGTGTTACTTGATCAATTTCTGTTTTTCATTTACTGATCTTAGCTGGGAAATGACCTCTTCAAATATTAGAATCATATGAGATGATTTATCCCCCTGCTCCATTATGACCACTGCATTGAAAGCATGCCATAAGTATGTTTAAATTCTAATTTTAATTCTAAAAATTAGAATTTAAAACCTAAGCCAGTGAACTGTAAGGAACTATTGTTTCGACAAACCACTTCTTGGCATTACCAAGAAGATCCATTAGTGGTAGCAATAGCATTGACACAAAAATGTATAAATGCCATCTTATGCACAAAATTGTCTTTTCTGATTTTTAATTTGATTGCCTGGAAGAATGAGAACTGCTTGGAATCACAAGAAATGCATTTAAAGATAAGCTTAAATGTGCATTAAATTAAGATTAAAAAGATATATCTGGTGAAATTAACAGAGCTATAGGTGAAGCTGTTCAATGAAACAGAATAGATCTCATTTACCATCAGATTTCTATCATGCTAATATTTTAGAGGTCACTCATTTGGGGCTTTTTTTTCAAAAGGAGTGAACCTCATGCAATTCTGAGTTTGCTGCCACCAATCCCCAATGCTACTTCTACGGTCTGGCGTGTTGCATGCTTGTGTTCAAATCCACAAAAACAGATATTTTATAAACTTTTAATGCACTCCAGGTACGAAATGGACTGAATTTTGTGCAGAATGCAACTGGGAAATTGAAGCAGAAGAGATATAAGAGCAGCAACATGCTTTTGTGTTTTTATTTGAATTGATGTGTTGTGTACCACTGGAAGATTATAGATCTGCACACAAATTTGTCCTTCAATTTTCCTTTACACACAATTAACCACACAGGAGCAAGATATTAATGTTGTCCCATTCACCTGGGGACACAGTACATGTACAAAATGCATATTATTATTCATTATCATCCTTTTGCTCTTTACTCCACACAAAGCCTCTTTCTGAGCATCAGCTGTGGCTCGTTGACCCCTAGGAGGCAGTACTAGGAGGACCTGCCCCAGCCCCCGTAACAGTAAAGAGGACTGAAACCTATTCTGTTGCAGCCCTTTGTTGAGCTTTTTAAAAAAAATGTTCTAACCATTTATACATTACTGTTTACACAGCACAATAGTTTGAGTGATGCTGCTGGATTTCAAAGATGATCCTAGATTAAAGTCCCAAAGCCATCTGACACTCAGTCTTTCCAAATACAATTATGCTGAGTAACAGAAATTTTTAAAGAAAAACAGCCTTTACATGGAGCAACTTGTCACAGTGCAGCATTTCATGGCACAAGAGTGGAATAAAGATGGTGACCTCAACCAGCAGGATTGACTCCTCCTAGACAATCGGCGCTATTAATAGCCATTTTGAGAAATGATTGAGGCAAACAGATCCATTGCTCTGGTTTATAAAAGGGCTGCAGGAGAAGGGTGGCCACTGGGAAGAAACAAATGTGAGACGAAAAGCAAGGATTTCGAAAGAGCAGTTTAAAAAAAAATTAAAAACCTTAAACGTTTTGATAAACCTCTGAACTATTTCAATTTAGAAGCATCAAAGTGTTGTAATTGATTTGAACCAAACCTCAATACAAACTGAAAGATATATGTAATTCTATTGCAGGCAGGGATTCTAAACGTACCTCATTGATCAGGAACTGAAGCTGCAGTACTGCTGCCCCGCTGTCATGCTGGCAGTAGCAATCGACGCCAGGACGACCCAATCTGTTAGAATGTGAGTCAAGGAGTCTGCCATTAATTATTCACAACAAGACATATTGTAAATATGGGCAATGTGTTTTAAAGTGCAACATCTCAGAAATGTACCAATTAGGTTAATCATTCTTCCACGTGTGTTGATTAGTGTACAGGGTGAAACGTTGGGCAAGTTTCCTTACTCTACATGCAGCAGTAAGTAGGAACCCGGTTGTTGGTCGATTGCTTTTCCAAGGATAATAATTCCTTCAAAAAATAATAATAATAAATTGGTCACTCAATCCACGACTTTGTGGGACACTGCTGTGTGCAATTGGCTGCCGCGTTTTGCCCACAAATATACAGTCAATTCACTTTACAGTCTATTCTGTGAAGCACTTTGAGATGTCTAGAAGACATGAAAAGTGCTATATCAAATGCAAGAATTATTATTATTCTGTGAAGCGCTTTGATACGTTGCGAAGACATGATAAGGTGCTATATCAAATGCAATGATTATTATTACATTTCTTTTTTTTTACAGTCAGTGCTCCAAATTTTCCCATGCAATTTCACAGGATCACCAGCAACTAGACCCAAGAAACACTGTACTTTCAAGTCACATTTACTGAATCATTTACTGAATCAGCAAATGCTAAAGTGAATTCCAAACACATTCATTTCAAGGTAGGTTGAGGTCCTAGATATGTTTTGACATAAAAATGTCTCAACCCCATACTGCTGGGTGTTATATATTGTGCTTTCATGAGGAAGTCCATAGGCATTCCCTTAAGGGAAAAATATGAAAGATGAACTCAATTATTTACAACAATTTCTCAATAATGTGTTGATGTGTTTCAAAATAAAAATATTTGCTTATCATAAGAACATAAGAAATGCTAGACAAAAAAAGACCAAGGTCCATCTAGTTTGCCTTCCAGCTTCCTGATGGTCGCATACACATTTCCCGAACTACCTATGTACTACATCCCATAACGTTATTTCCGAAAAGAAAACTATCTAATTTGTGTTTGAAAGAATCAACACTTCCTGCTTCAACCATCTCTCTAGGGAGCCTGTTCCACAGGTTAACTACTTGCTCACTGAAATAGTGTTTAAGTAGATTCGTTCTGAATTTAATCCCCTTCAATCGCAGACCGTGTCCTCTGGTTCTACTATTCTGGATAAGCTGAAACAACGTGTCATGATCTATATTGTCTTGCCCCTTTAGAATCTTAATGATAGCAATCATGTTATCTCTCAATCTTCTCTTTTCCAGCATGAACAAGCCCACTTTACTTAGTTGCTCCTCATAGTCCAGTCCTTCCATTCCCTCAATTATTTTGGTTGCGCTCCTCTGTATCTTCTCAATTTCTCCAATATCCTTTTTGTACTGCGGCAACCAGAACTGGTCCTGACTTATCACCTCCTGACTATCTAAAGTTGAAGATTAAACAGCCACAATGGTCACTTATGCACAAGAATAATTGCTCAGCTTCTGCTTTTTCAGAATATAATATAAATATTCATTTATATATAGAATGCAAACCTTTTCAGTAATACCATAACCTGTGATGTCAATGTTTGAAGCAACAGTTCGGTATCACAGCTGTAATTTAAGCTTACCAGTGATGGTAACAGTTATTTTACTAAGATCACTTAGCAGAAAGATTCACACTGCTTTGTATTTTGTTGTGTCGCACAATTTCCTTCATACCATGCATTGGAACGTGTATTTTAAAACAAGATTGAGATAGTGCTTCGCATCACAGTTTGAAGTAGAACACATTATAAAGAGAGTAAATGTAAATTAAATATATCCCAATAGCAAATTCAGAAGTACAAAACAAACATTATTTAAGGGTATGTCTTGTAACACTTGTGTGGTATTATAATGCATGTTGACCATATTGCCCATTACTATTTTATGCTATTTCTAATCCCATTGCAGTGGCATCATGTTGGAAATACATAAACACAGTCCTCCTTGATCACCTCTCCTACCTCATCCACCTGGGTGGGACCACTCTCCTGGTTCAACTCCTACTTGACCCACCGCCCTAATTTTGTGTTTCCCCTCATTGGCTACCTCGTCTTTCTCTCTGGCTTGGTGTCAAACTCCATGCTACCCTCGTGAAGGACATGATGTAAATGCAAGTTGTTATTGTCGTAGCAAACAATAATCTTATCAATGACGTCACTTTGGCAGTTGCAACAACATAATGTTAAATCTAATCTACCAGTGCCTCACATTCTGAAATTGCAAGGAAATGTGGCCTTTCAAACAAATCTTCATAGTGTATCTGACAAAGCATCACTGTCAATGAGATATTCTTCTTGTCACATTTGAACTGATGTTACAGAACTAAAGCTTGAAACAATCAAACAATTGCCAACACTTTAACCAAACATGCCAGGTAAAGCAGATTGACCATGATGTCTTCATTTTATCAATGTTTAGTAAAATGGTTTATAACACAAATTTACTATATTTTAGATGAGAACAGAAAAAAAGGAACCTAAATGGCAAAGTGTATTTAACAGGTTCCAATCACCTACTGTTTTAGAAAACTGATCAGGTGTCAAGGTCAAGATGTTTTCTTTCATAAAAAAATATGTATTAAATATACCATTAGTTTGTAATATTCCTCAGTGGGAAGGGGAAGAGTAAGCAAAGTGTCCTTGGGACTGAGATGGTTTCAAGATGATGTGCTTAGCAACAGAATATTGGAATGAAGTCAACTCACGGTGGCATTCTTTGTAGTCCGTTCCTGAGCTAGACAAGCCTGTAGCAATGCAAGGCACGGCTGATGATAAACAACCTGGCTTGTCATCAGGATTTGGAGACAGACTTGGAAAGGTCAGGGATTCTTCCCACTCACCTCCTGCAACCCTGCTCGCCAGAGCAGCCACGGGCAGAGTGGTCCTAACTGGACAAACAGCACTAAGATTGACAGTGTTTAGGTAATGCCCCAATGCGCACTCTGAGGTCCCCCACTCTTGGTTCTCGTCAAACTACACCTAATGCTTTCCGGAATTAGGTGAACCGTGCACAGGGAGAATGAACATTCCATTCCAGACACAAGGAATGCGAGCTCTCGGAATGGTTTAAAAACTCTTGAGCATGGTCATAGGTTTCTACATGTGCCAACCGTTTTTTTTAATAATTTGGGGAAAAGTAAAAATTTTAAATAAAATGTAGCTTTTGTTTTTGGATTGGAAATGTTCCCCTTACACTAAGCACCAGTGAATTCAAATAGTGAGGTGCTGCCATACATGAGGAAAAAACTCAACACAAAAAGTGAGAAAGAATATTTATGATCTAACTATCAGATGCTAAGTAAGTTGAACACATTTCACTCATTTAACTTTCTGTTGGTTTTAATAGATCTCACCTGTCCGAAAAGATCACATTTTACTTTATTTAAACATTGAGGTCGAATATATAGCAATGTCTAATAGGAATCTTTAATAATGTAATCTTGAATAGGTCATGCAGGAACTCCAGTCCAACACAAACTATATTATAATCATAATAACTATATTCAGAGACGAGTTCCCACAAATCGGCGTGACATATTTCCAGCTACCTTATTGAAGAATCTTGATAGTAATCATTGCTCACTTCCAACTAAGGAATGCTCATTGGCTTGATATGTTATTTCTTCAGATAAATATCCTGCATGAAAAACTAAATAAGGTGAAAAATCTTAATATGCTAAAGTGTGTGAGACACATCGCATTTTCCAAATAAACATATTTAAACCAATCCCGCTGTGAATTTAAAAATTGACATTTTAATTGTCTTTGAAACTACTGATTTACAGCTCATTAATATGTTTGCAAGCACTAAATATTTTCATAAAAGATTAACTTCATATCAACAATTATGAGTTTTGGAGCAGACAAACAAGGCTTCAAGTGCTGATTCCAGGAAAAACGTGAATATTTTATTTAAACCCCTGCTTAACACATACATATTCTCTTTGTGGTTTATATGCTTATGATATTTAAGAAGATCTGTAAGAAACCCACACAAAGTTAGCTACGCATATGAGGGCTCACATGAAAAGATAATTTAAACCCCTGTTGAAGTGTTGATTTTGTAGAGAGAAAAATATAGCAATACCTTTGACTTCAGCTTTTTACAGCTTTATTTATAATAACTTAATTTGAGCCTATTTAGTCTGAACGTACAGGACCAATTTCTTTACAAAGGTGCTGCTAATTCGGCACTTGCACAGTCCCATTTTTAGTCTAGTTCTGCTAGCTGAAACACAGCTATCAATGGCCAGGGTTAGACCCAGGCCCCTGCGAAATAAATGTATGCAGGCATAGATAATGCAATATTTCTTGCATTTGATATAGTGCCTACACAAAACATCTGAAACATCTCAAAGCACTTCACAAGTAATCGCTGACAAGTGTAGTGACTACGGCAGGCAATTTGCACTCAGAAAATAGTAATTAAGTGAATGACCACATTATCTGGAGGATTGTTGATGCTGTGAGAATTACCAATTTCAAAGGTGATTACGTATGCCACTTTGCCCTCAACAGCTCAAACTTGATAAGATACTTGAAGGCTTATCTCCAATCACATTACCTCACTAGAATACGCTCAGGTCACACACGTAATTCAAAAGGTCATTCTACCGTTATATAGGTTCATGTAACATTCATTTATGAAAATGAATGCAAAGAAACAGTACATTACTTTGCACTACAAAAAAAGAATGACACAAGCTTCTTTGACACAAATACCATTTACAGAAGTCTTCTATATTTTCTTCAAATTATGTAAAGATCGCTAGACATGCACCTGAAAATAATTATGGCAGCTAAACAAGAGGGTACATGTTTAGGGTTGTGAAGGGCAATTTTAAGAAAGAAATCTTTACATTGACAGTAATCAATAACTGGAATCGTTTTCAAGGGAGGGTGATGGAAGCCAGGACACTGGACTGGATTAAGAAACATTTGAGCTCAATGGAAAGGGTGAGTATTTTTGAAGGGTGTGATGGAACTGG